GGGGAAGGCTTTGCTTATGCGGTCGCAGAAAGAGATTTCCTCAGATGGTCAGGCGTGCTTCTCGGTCATGGTCGGTCGTTGCATACAATTTTCATGAAGACTTTATTCTGCTGCAGCCCATTCCATCTGGATGGCGCACTGGTGCATCGGCTGTGCCTAGATGTCCACGACAGTTACTTGTAGTAGCGTCCAGTTGCGCTTCCAACTCATGACGCAAGAGTGACTCCCGTCGAGAGTGACTAAGGCCTGATTTCGGACTTTGCGAATCGCGCGAATCGCAAAGTCTGACATCGGCCTAAAGGTTGCGAATGAGGTCGAAGATTGCAGCTCGTACCGCCTTTGGTGATCCTATTGAGCCAATACCACAGTGCCCGATCAGTAGCAAGGGACTGGGCAAACACAGCGCTGATCTTGCCTACTGCGCTCCTTGCAAGGTTCTTCTTAAAATGTTCATAAAGCATAATCGTTCATTTTGGTTTTGATCTATTTTGACTCCTAGTGAGTTATCTCCTTGCGGATTCCAACTTTTAAAACCACCTTTCTAAAGCCTTGATGCATTCTTCAACATACTCACATATCTCGCAATGGCACTGATTTGACTGGAAGAAAACTGAATTTGTGCAAAGTCGGACAGGACTTATGGGACAACCTAATAAATGAAATAAAATTACACTAAAATTGTACAAGGCCCTATTTCAGGTTCAACAGGTCCAGTGTTAGAGTCTGACAACAGATGACCTGCATACCTCTAATGTTGACAGCTGAGCCGGTTTGGTTCTGCTCACCAAGCGCCTTTCCCACCAGGGTCAACCGCCCGTTGCGCAAAGATCAATGGGGGGGGGTCGTATTTGGTGAATGGCAGGTGGGAGGACGTGAGCCCCAGTACCATCAACAAAATTTGGAAGTACCAAGGCATGGAAAAGTGGCATAAAAGACAGATTTTCAACCACCACTGCCACTGTTACTCACATATGATTGAATTGCGCATGTCAGAGCAGAAGATCTTATTGAATCTTTCATTCCAATGAGCACGAGCAAACCGATTCTTCTGGAGAAACTCCGATGCTTTCAAACCATATCAAAAGGTAGGAGATTGCAACAAATTCGGCGGATTCATTTCCAAAGCCCATGTAAGAATTCTGACGAAAGAAGGGTTTTCATTTCAGATCTTTTCGGTG